TACATGTTGTCGATGCCGCTGACCGTTAGATCCAACTGGTGTTTCTGAAAACGTAATCACAGTGCTCATGAGGAGTGTGAGTATTACCCTCGAGGGAGGTTGATAATGTAAAGGTGAAGCTGAAGCTGACCCTCGAGGAGTTCCCAGCACGTAGGGATCACCACTAGCTACTACTGAAGTTCGTCCTCTAGGGGTAGCTACACCGACCCTCGGAGTGGCCCTAATGATAACAACAACATTACAGTACGAAGGTTACCAATGTTGGTACCCTCTAGGGCTAGGTGGCGGGTAGTTGGCCATGCCCCCTCCACGAGGGCTCGCCTGTTGATAAGCCCTTGGTGTGAAGTTAGGGGCTCCTCTGGGGCTCTGTTGCTGGTAATAGTACGATACCGATGCAGTCGAGGAAGTGCGCTGTAGGTACCGACGAGGAAGCATACCATATCCCGCAGCAGCAGCGTCAGGATGATGATCATAGGAAGCCCGAGATCGGCCCTCCCTAGGGGTCCCTCTAGGGGTCAAAGAGGCTACCCGAGGGGAGGGAGAGCGACTATGCACTGTTGATCTCGGGGTATACTGCTGATAATAAGGATACGCCGCTAAGGAGCCACCAGAGGGCGGTGGCCGACTGCGACGAGGAGAGGCCGTCCTAGCGCTACACAAAGACAGGTCCAGGAGCATTGAGGTAGTAGTTGGAGACTCACTATAATGCGGAAGACCTAGGGCTCATGCGCTGAGCATAACCTCCCGGGGTTGGCCCTCTAGGACTCGGCCCTGATGATAATATCATATCGAATCGTCGACATCATCATTCTGACCACCTTCCATCTGCTGTTGCTGTTGCTGCATTCGTAGCATCTCCCTTTCCCTTCTTATTCTCTGTCGATCCTCCAAGGCCCTCTGTCGCTCGGCCACTTCATCCCAAGGCGGTATGAGTCCGTCACCTTTACGCTTGGGCCGGGGGGCTCCTATATGAGAATAATCCCCTCGGAATTCGCAACCAATATTGTACGCACTTCTAACAGTATCTTCATCGCCGCTACTAAAATCAAACTCATCCCTCTCCCTACGCTTGGTAGAGGACTCTTCTGTGGTAGGAGGAGTTGACGACGCCGATGACCTGAATAGCATAGTCAGGTTCTTCATAGAGATGTGAAGTTACTTTTCGACTTCCTGTGGCTGGTCCCTGCCAGATGCAGTGGTCGAAGCACTAACAGCACCAGTGGCATCAAGAGGGGCACCCTTACGAGGGGTGTAGGGCGTCCTAGTTGGAGGACGAGATAGCGTCGATGATGTTGTGGCCGGATGGTCAATCTCCTGTTTGCTACTGGTGCACCCCATGAATAATCAAGAGAGCGGTGTTGTTAAAGAGGGAGATTAACAACAAAGACGACAACAACGCCCTGCAGACAAGACATGTACTCCTGACGGCACACCAGTGACGGGGGAGATTCACTTAGAAGTGGCGAGCACGTCCAACACAGACGGTCTAGCATTCTGTTAGCTCAACTAACGGCGTGTTTAATAGATCTCTTCTGAGCTTCACGAGCGCCCCTAAGATTGGATTTCACGGATATAAAACTCCATCCTGGGAGCGCCCTCAGGAGATATCAAAAGAACACCGGGTGAGTGGCAGGTCCTAGGAATTTCTCGCGCGCCACAGAATAATCTCGATGACAAGAAATTACTGCAAGTGCATGTAATTCTTCAAGGCCGAGGCCGTAACACAAGACGAAGACGTAAAAGGTTTGAGCACATTGCTACTACCATGTAGGCACAGGTTCAATTCCCCGCTATTATATCGGGGGGATATATCCTTCCCCTAGGGCTTGGCTACACGTATACAACTTTTCAAGGCCTATTTCGCGTTTAGTAAGATCAATTTCGCAGGGTGAGCAATCATCCGAGCCAAGATAAGCCTTAGTAAGATCAATTTCGCCAGCGCGCTCGATAGAAAAATCAATTTCGACGACACGTGTCATTAGCACAATCAGTTTCGCGGGCACGTCTGAAGTAAGTTCTATTTCGACGGAAGGGGAAATCGATTTCGCTGATACTGTAATGGATTAGTTGCTGCAACACTTTAAGAGTATGCGTGCAGTTTAGTGTGAGTGTGCGTGCATGCGCACGCAAGCGCAACCACTAGAATTTTTCCCTTCGTATTGAGAATAATAGTAACGATGATCTGTCAGTTCGTTCTTACCTGTAAACTTGTCTACCGTGTTGGTAAACTCCTCATATACTGATAGTCTTAAACTGTCAACTGATTGGCATAACGCAATAACCTACAGTGGAGTCTAGAAGAACTGACGAAGTGCCGGATCACCTCAATGCCTAGACATACTATGATTACTTCTAGACCTCCTCACCGGAGAGTACACAGTTTCATCCACAGATCCAAGCGGCGATATCTTAGACTGTCGTTTCGGGCGATCTAGGCTGTGAGTACGTGCGATACCTCAAGGAGCTTGCATGGAAATGTGTCCCTCATACACTGCATTTTTACACTTGGCGATTGGACATCGTCACAGCGGCAAGCGCTTTCTATTTTCGGGACGGCCGAGGACATCAAGAAGTGTTCGTCTGGCCTTAGTTGGTGAATGAGTAGCCAACCAACCAATGCGGACGTTCAATCGAATAGCATCGCCGATAGTTCTCTTGAGTGGACTAGAGAGAGCAATACCACTCCTTCGGCAACTCATGGTAACGACATGACTTTCCATCAAGACAACACAGCGAATTTGCTGGCGAAATTGCACACCTCTGGAGAGTCGGTGAGGACATCTACAACTTTCTTGAGACATCAACGTGCAGCGTTCTCCGCGGGAATCCGAAATGACCTGAAAGGACCTACTGACTGTTGACAATCCTTGCTGGATGTCAATCTGCCTAATGCTACCAGTACTACTACTGCCAGTAGCAGCTTTGAGAAATATAGTTCCCTAGGGTTTGATAACAATGAGAAAAACCTATTGTTCCTATTGTGATGACATTTAAATGGGAAACTGATTGAAGAATGTGCTCCTAACCATGTGGAAAATTCACGATGAGTTCTTCCCGGGAGCATCCTAGGTTCCTGTATAACTCCCTGCCTACTACTACCACTACTACTACTACTACTACCTCTACTACTACTACTACTACTACTACTACTACTACTACTACTACTACTACTACTACTACTACTACTGCTACTTCATTCATTCATTGAGCGCTTCAGTCCAACTAAGGGACAAGCGCGCTCCGAATAATAGTAAATTTATGCCATTTCCCTCTGTCCATGGCTTTTTCCCTGATGTTTCTCCATCTTCCTCCACGATCCTCCACATCCTGTTTGACAAGCTTCAACTACTTCGAATCAGATTCAATCTCTGATTCTATCCATTCTCTTTGAACCGCATCCCTAGGTTGCCGCAGAGCATGACCAAACCAACGTAAACGTCTTTGATTCATAATCTCCTTAACGGTAGAGCCTTCCAACCAGTCCAGGATTTCAGCCTCACCCACTTTCCAATCGAACTCACCATCAACATCACCATTATTCGACTGGTTAGTGTTCCGACCCCACCTTATGATATTGCTAACCAATTTGTTGCAGCACCTTTGCAACCTTTCCGCATCGTTCTTGACGTACACCCAGGTTTCGCAATTGTATAGAAGAACACTCATTACGCAGCTCTTGAAAATACGTTTTTTGGTCATGGCGAGAATTCCCCTAGCCTTCCAGATGTTTTTCAGATCGTTGAACACAGCAACCGCCCTTCCAATTCTCCGGTTTATTTCCCTGGTTAGTTTCATTTTCGTTGTGAGCAAGGTACCCAAATACACCATTGACCCTACACATTTCAATTTCTGTCCCTCGACTAGTTGAATACAGACTTCCTCAACCTCTTCCTCTACTACCCCTCTCCTGTACTTCCCGACCATTCTACTCTTTCTCAATGCTCTTTGCCTCTCGATAGTGACTACTACTACTACTACTACTGCTACTACTACTACTGCTACTACTACTACTACTACTACTACTACTACTACTACTACTGCTACTACTACTACTACTACTACTACTACTACTACTACTACTACTACTACTACTACTACTACTACTACTACTGCTACTACTACTACTACTACTGCTACTGCTACTACTACTACTACTACTACTACTACTACAACTACTACTACTACTACTACTACTACTACTACTACTACTACTACTACTACTACTACTACTACTACTACTACTACTACTACTACTACTACTACTACTACTACTACTACTACTACTACTACTGCTACTACTACTGTTCTTAGGCCCACTTGGAGGATTTAGTGAAGAGTATGTCCTATCTCTATCATTCAGCCTCACCGAAAGCCAAAATCAGCCAGCCCGAGCCAGCAACGGATAGCATTGAGGAAGAGCCTGCATTCCCACGTAACTCCATCAAATAGCACAAGATTGGACAATGGTCAATGTCGTAGAGGCCAACGGACAAGACCAGCCGGGGCGAATACTCCGATGTACGCGTGAAAACCGCGAGAAGAGGAAGGTGGAAGATGAACGAGACAGGTGCGAATCGGCGTGATTATGATCGTATGAGTAACACCACAGATGGAAATACTACCATCCACATAACGCAAGAATAGACCTCAGCTCGTCACGAATCACGAACGCTTTCGGAGGTACAGAAGTAGATTCAACCAGTGGTAGTACCAAACGCACCGCCACTGGAAGCCAGGACAACGTCGATGTATCAGAACAGTCCTTTATGACGCAGCGCTCGGCAGTGGACAATGCTAGTGGCCATCAGTATAGCACTACCACAGCAAACGCTGCGCTATACGAACGAAATCTCCCCCACGTGATGAGTGGCAGCTTGTTCAGCAGTGAGATTCCACTCTCAGTGTGTGTAACAGTACTGAATCTCTCAGGAGCATACGTGCATCAGTATCATACGTCCCTCAGCATTGGGCCGGTCGACTGTCCTCGGCAGTAGGTGCTTTCATCCATCCACCTACATACTATCGTGCGGCTAGGCCCGACCCTGCATCGGATTCAGCAGAGCCGAGGAGCTGATAAGACAACCGATCCATGGCAATGTTCACTGAGAATGTTAACTAGCATATTTAGTTGCCTGCCTCGGCTCGACCGAGTAGCTGCGTAGCGTTATTTGCGTCACAAGTGAACGGTGAAGAGCCTCGCACGAGACTCAGCAGTGTGGGCAAGATGCTATGGTTTTGGCTATCTCGGCATTTTGCTCGAGGCATTGCTTGCTGGATAGATAGTTGGAGTACTTTGAGCGCATAGTATGGACCGTTGATGAGATTACGATTTCCGCGGTTTTCCCACCACGACTGTACCACTCGAACCGTTCGAGTCGAACGGGAGAAGGCAGGTTAGTCAAATCAATGATATCGGAAGTCGTATGCTGAGAATTACGTGGATGTGCTCACAAATCAGGACTTTGAGTCCGTGCTTGAAGCCCGTCTGCTGGTGTCGTTACGTGTGTGTTGACTAGCGGCATAGGCCTCTACACGGGCACGTACAATGGATAGGAACAGGGGCAGGTTGGTGATGGTGATTGTGCGTCTGCAATAAGCATGCAGTTGTGTGAATAGGTGCTTCGATCGGTAAAGCTGTCGTTTTCGTTCGAGTTTCGTATGGGAGTCAACCTTCTGAGAGAGTTCTATACCACTAAGGAACCTATCTGGCGAATACCTCCCCTACTAGTCTGTTCGCGGTTGAGGAATCCACATACACGAGTGAGGACATTTATTTGGCGCTTGGGAGTGCATCATAGTAGTTGGTAAAAGAGGTCAGTTTTGCGACGCGGTTCACATTAGGATTTCAACTTAGCGAACAAGGGTCATAATTTCATGATTAGGCAAACCAATCTCGCTGATATGGACATCAATTTTGGGGGATGGGTGAATCGATATTGGAGTGCACTGAAATGAAGTTCGACTCAATCACTCGTCCATGAAAGGAAGAGCGGCGAAGTTCTGATTGAAACGGAGAACAGAACAGTAGATGTACGAATCTTCACTATCGTGTCTCATTTTCCGTTTAGAGAGGCAAGCGCCTTCTCGGTGTTTTTGTAACCAACTCACTTCGAACAGTTATGAGTAAGCCCAACAAGCCAGGTTAAGACGAAGCCAGTTTCATATGCGTTTCGCGGATTTTGGGCCCTTAGAGCCAACAGAGCGACAAAGAACAACATAGCGTCACGGATTCACCAGGTGCTTCATCGCCTTTGAACGCCAACTCCATACCCCATACGGTCCCTTAACATGTAACCCAGTTGAACTCAATACCAGTGGTATTATACCACGTGTCACGTGAAAACCACGTTGTATGATTCAAGGTTACATGAATTCAGTACGGATCCACAACAACAGCGTGCATTCACGCTCGTCACATCGCCAACAACAACAACGACCACAACAAATACAACAACAACGACCACAACACCGACAGCGCCAACAACAGAGCGACAACAAAAACATCCTCAACAGAGACAACTTCATCTTATGCCGAAACTGTATCACATCCCTTGACTTCCTTTCCTCACCAGACATAATTCCACAACAGATTTACGCGCAAGCTCTTCATCATCAAAATTTGAGCTCTTCAAGGCACGCTCCACCGCATCGCATCAGTTATTTGGGAGTGTTGGGTGAGACTGAGTGTTAGCCAACTAGGCAGCAGAGGGCTGTGATAATACCGAACCTCACAACACGCCGTGCATTGGCTCAACCTGATGGCGCTGCCATTGGTCAACGCATATCCGTAGCCTATATCGTGTTGCGTAAGCGACAATGGTTCTCTGGAGTCATCGTGAGGTCTCGCTCGCCCAATATTGTTACTATTGCTTTCGATAACGGATATGCTGATGAGATTGACCTATCGACTACTGAATATAAACTAAACACCCGTTCGTAGTTTGATTCTTCTTGCGCCAAAGGGCCTTTGTGTTCCAAGTCCTGGGCCGTTCCCCATCAACCCCACAGTCACATTGCCTAGCACGCAGGCACATAGGCAATGTCTCCCAAGCAACTAGTGAAGGTAAAAGGAAAACTCCAGGGTGGAACTGGCTCGAGGTGCTCCTGGACAGCCAGATTGCTGTCACTTCAGTCTCGATCGGTTGCACCGCTTTCTGGTTCGGGTCGATCACAATGACGTGCGTCGCGCACGCACGAGCGATACTTGTTACGCTTGCTTGAATTTGCCCCCTGAAAGCCTGGACCTTCACTCAAGCATCGAGAATAGAGAGATTTTCAAATGGTGTATAACTCGGGGGACAACAGGGACGAGTACGCGTGCACACTAATTGCGCTGAGCCGCACGCGCGCAGGTTTTGTGGTAGCTGTATGAAACTACGAACTCAAGCCAGTACGAGTTATTGAAGTGCAACTTCAGCAGCTAGAGCGTGCATAGTACGTGGATGCGAAGTGTTGCATTCCATTCCATCACCCTCGTCATGTCCCACCGTGCGATTGGCACTCGGGCCCTCGTAGACTCAGTGCAGCACTCATCTACGACTACAAGTTGACGTGATGGCCGTAGTAGTCCCAATTCTGATCATCACTCGCTGAAGTCACTCTGTTAAGATCCAAGCTTCCTAGAACTGCTAGGCTAGAAGTCTTTATAAAGCAGTCGCGGGTTCGATTCCCGGTAGGGAGACTTTTCCAACATTTTTTCGGCGCGTGTGGTACACTAGAGGAGACTTGAATTGAGGTTTTATGACCAGCTTATTGAGCAATCCAAGGGATAATAGTAGTCGTGAGCGGCCACTGGCCGCCGACACATTTTGAGTGGGCAAACACCCCAAAAATTTTTGGGGTGTTGGCGAGACCGCTCCTTGGTGACAGGCTGTCACTGACAGCGAGCCTCCCAGGCCGGAATGTTGGGGTTGCAAGGGGTGACGAAAAGACAGAAACGTAACGCTTGTTTTGGTGAAGCTGGCCGATGAACAGGTGACTTAAGAATCGTTCATCGAGATATACACCACCTTCACAACTTGTATATTACCATTGGAAAATTCAACTCCGGCAGACTAGCGAATTCGTGCGCCAAGATACTTCAAGGATGCGCGGTTTTAGAATCCTCCAGTTCGACATAGGAAATTTCAATTTCGACGGGCCGGTTTAGTAACTTTGATTTCGACATAATAGTAACTCCTATTTCACACGTGGGATCATCAAGTTCGACACACGCCTGTGATTGAACCCTGTGGGGAATCTTCGCACACGAGCTTAGTAGTCTGCCGAAATTGAAGCTTCCAATGGTGGAATAGAACTTGGCAAAGGTGTGGTATGCGACACTGATATTCCGACCAGTAGTAAGTGGTAACCACACTATAAAGAATGCCTTCGGGAAAGGGTCGCAGCTATCATTAGCTTGAGTTTGTTAGAGTCATCATGTTATCCCCTCCAATTCATCGTGTTAGGGAAGGAGAGCCTCTACCTCCACCATCTTCATCGTATAGCATAATCAGTGAAGTAGCCATACTCATACTACCACTACTACTGCTACTACTACTGTAACTACTACTATAGCATCACTTCAGTGCTTGTGCTTTGTAGGATAGTCATCCGCCGTCACCAAGTCAGCCTCCTCAGCAACGACTTCGACATCGTTTCTCTGATAGAGCTAGGTAGGAGGATCAATACGGTTTTCCACTAGATGCCCACGTAATGCAGGTTATGGGGCGTCTTATTAGTTGCTGTGTTGGTGCAATTCGGAGCGCATTTCATCAAGACCATATCACCACTGAAAGCGTACTATGCCAAAGACCCTCAGTGGAGCCCTCCCATTGACTCCTTACGCTGGGGCTGGTTTCAATCTATCGGCACTCTTCCGAATCTCATCCTCCCCGCAGTAGGAGGAGTCGTCGTAGACAAATGCTGGGGAGTCAAACTCGGCGTTATGTTCTTCCTTGGGGTCGTTTGCACAGGGCAACTGGTCTTTTTCCTTGGCACGAAAATACACACTTTCTGGTTGGCACTCACCGGAAGGTTCATCGCAGGCCTTGGGCAGGGCTGCGTGTCTTCACTCACAGGAGCAATAGCGGCTATTTATTTTCCCAATAAAATTACGTTCGCAATAGGATTGACAGTAATACAGTAACTGAGTCGTCGTTAATGATGGAAATTTTCGAATTTCAGGAAGCATTTCATTCCCTCTCTGGCGTGGTTTCCAAGACTACTCTAGCTCCCGTAGCTGAGCTCTTCAATGGTGATTATAGTATATCCATTCTATGGGGTCTGTTCTGGTGCCTTGTATCGACTGTAGTATCATACTGGTGGCTTAGAATGAGCAAGAGAAATCGGTATAGGCAAATGCCTCAGCAGCACGTTCGAGTGAAGGGCGCGGCAATTTTCAGAGATTTCCGTAGGACGCTGATGCTCCCTTTGGCATTCTGGATCGTCTGCTTCCTCCATCTCCTCTTCTCAAACGCCCATCGAGTATTTGGCCACATCGATGCTGATTACCTCCGGGCCAAATATAACTACACCAAGGTGGAGTCTGGTCAGTCCGCGGCCATAACTGACAGTCTCGGCATACTCCTGTCGCCTCTTATGGGCCTTGCTATTGACTATGCTGGAAGATCGGCAGTCCTACTACCGGTGATACTGATGGTAGCTGGCACGATAGGCTCATTAGGGTACTACCTCCTCAGTAGCAGCTTGTTCACGTCTCCTGACATTCCACTGCTTATGCTCTCTTTTTGTAACGCACTTACTCCCACAGTTCTGCGTGCGACAGTGCCCTCAGCGATACAGGGCTCAGGGGCGCTGTTTGCTACTGCTTATGGGTGTTATGAAGTGATGGAGGCTGCTGGAGTGTTCATAGGAGGCTGGATGGTCGGCTTGGTGAAGACTATGACAGGAACTTACCGAGAAGTGGTATTATGGTTCTCATTCTCTCTGATATTGGCAGTAATACTATCACTAACGTTGTTGGTGTTGCAGACTCGAAAGCGCAAAATCGTTGCCGAGACTGATCCACTGACCACTAGTGATGAGGAGGAAGGCCATAGCTTGCTAGTGGACCGCATGGTACTCCCTAGGAAGGACCATCCTGCAGCTGATCTTGGTCGTGCGGGCTGAGCGTCTCACGTATAATATCCTACTATTACTGCTGCTACTACTACTTGTGATTACGCTTTAGCTTGTAGCGGCAATCATCACTGGGGTATCCACTACTACGTAGTTTTCCGCATTGTTCTGTATCATTTTCAGTAGGGCTACTACCTATTCCGCGGTCGAGTTAGTAAAGTAGGCTCGAAAACGACGTTTTACTTGTCGTCGAAAATGGTGGCTATTCCCTCTCAAACGAGTTAGTGCTCTTTTTCTCGACGCCAGTACGCTTATTGTAGACTGACAGTGTGTCAATGGTGAATGTGATGAGATAGTCCTTTTGGGGTTTTACTTGCGCATATGTCGACCAGAAAGCAACAGATGGACAGCAGTGAAGTGAGGAAGTCATCTAGAGACTACTGCGTGCTTACTAGGACTATCGTTGCTGGCACTGCAGAGGTAATATGAATGTTGAGAGTGTTAGTGGTGTGGGGGAGTTCACTGGAAATATTAAAAACATTGCTGAGCTCATTTTTTGAGCTTACTGTAGTAGTTGAGCCCTCGTGAGCAGTGTTGGAAAATACTATATGTTGGTAACAATGTGAAAATTCTGAGAAAACTTCGGGAAATTCTCGCTGGTTTCTGTACTATCTCACCCGAATTCGTATATATACTTGCAAAGTTAGTGAGAAAACTCCAAAGCTCAGTTGAGGAAAGCGAACATATATTTTCCCAACACTACTTCTGAGCCTTAGATTTGAACCTATGTTCTGTCGAGGCAGCCGTAATAATTTTTGAATCTATTCGCAAACTTATATTTTCCTGTTCACTTTGCATGTTTCGAGTAAACGATGGTGATTTTCTCGCTCGCCCTCATATACCAGTAACGGCTCCGAGTATTACAGTTTCATTCCAATATGCAATAGATTATTATTGGAGTTTCACCCGTTTTACGTGAAGTGGCGTAAACCTCGGTGAAAAACGCAAAATTCGCTTCATGCAGTAGTTGTGAAGTATGTTTTTCACTAGTGTTTTTCGTATTACGGGTGGATATGTATGTTTTATTAGAGTTTCAGCTCAAAACTCTTATATGTTAGCAGCTAATGCTGATTTTGCATATTTGCCTAAGGGTAAAGTACGCTGGTGTTTCTCTCGATTGAGTCGCTGAGATTCCGCGATGCGATAGAAATGTGGTATTGTTAGTTGGGACAGTTTAGGGAGTGAGGGTGGTTGATGATCATAAAATGGCGTTCACTATTTGCTGCGCTCCCTTTCTGAAGTTCCCATGTTCTCAGGTTTCACAAGCGTCTGTGGCGCATCTATTCAGTGAGATGGTTTGTTACGCTGTACGGCGGCAAGGGCCAGATAATGAGCATCTAGAGAGTAAACTGCATAAGATGGGCGCGTCTATGGGGCCGGGTTTGCTGGAACTAACGTATATGAGGGATACTTCTCGGAATGTGAGAATAGGATGAAAAGGGGTCTACCGACGGGGTGCTTGGTCAGATGTCGCGAAAGCGAGATTATAAGGTTTTACCCCTGTTATATCACATTGCTACTTATCTTTGGAAGGCTCTGTTTGGTCACGAAGCTGAGGTAGTAGTAGTAGTAGTAGTAGTAGTAGTAGTAGTAGTAGTAGTAGTAGTAGTAGTAGTAGTAGTAGGTGTAGGTGTAGTAGTAGTAGTAATACTCCGTATCGCAGTGAATAACTTATCAGGTGTTAACAACAGACCAAGAATGTGAGTTCTATTTAGCTGATAAACAGTGGATATTGAACAAGTATTACTTCCTATCTTCTCCCTTTTCCACTACTGCCGACAGGTTCATCTCCTTACCGCCCGTCTCGGACGACTCAGACGACAACTTTGTGAATTGTGCCGCGTTCGCCGCTGGTCTGATCGAGGGAGCGATCAATGCTGTTGGCATGGTAATCACATTGAGCCTCATACTTCATAAGTATTATGTCAGCAATGTAAATGCACGGCGGCTTACACCAGTGAGGACCCCGAGACTGACCCTATGGCAATTACTATTATTGTAGATTTTGACAGAAGTGTTATTGATCGACAGAAGCGAGTAGGGGCTGGTGGAAGTGCCTTAGTCGGCACTATATAGACTTGGAACTCGTCACCATTTGTAGCATTTCGGTTCGATTCATCGTCGATTTGAGTTCATTCAGTATGAGTGTAATGTTGATTTTTGAAGTCGTTTGTATGCGATGAAATCACGACTACATTCGGTCTTACTGCTAGTCTCCCTTCTTGGTTTACTCGGTGTCACGTTGAACAGTACGCTACTCAGTGTTGCCTCGGAAGAAGGCTCGCGGGCACTACCCCACATAACGGTGTTTCACGCCAAGTGGTGCGGTCCTTGTCTGTTGGAAGGTGACGAATTGAAGAAGTTACCACCGGGAAATTACTACGTGGATAGAATTGATGTGGATGAGGAACGGGAGCTGGCGCGAGCCGCTGGAGTTGGCAAGTTGCCGTGTATCGTTGTCGAGTCCCCAAATGGGAGGATGACGAGGCTGGAAGGTCTGAGGAGCGCTGAGGATATCATGTCAGCTGTAGAAGAGCTGCGAAGAGGGGGAAGTGTGGTATTAAGTTGACACAAGTGATTTAGTAAATATTGTGATTACTTTTGTAGAGTGTTGAGTTAAGCAATAGTGCGACCTTCCCAGTCAACATGCAAGACGACGTGTGTGTGAATATAACCTTTCGGGTGGGCATATCATCAGATACGATGCCATATCTTCCATCTTCTGCATTCTAAATTCTGCCTGAAGAGATGAAGCATCATACATGTTCACGTGAGAATTTCACAGTGAGAAACTGCAAGAAGAGCGAGAGAGCAGTAACCATATCGCAGAAACTCACCATAGATATCCCTCCTCGTGGTAACTCTCATAGTCAGAGTTGTTACCTGGGTTTGGCATGATGATAGGCAAACGACCCCTTAGGCAAAATTGAATGTCCTATCAGCGAAATTGATTTCCGCACTTCGTAAGTGAAGGTTCTGTAAGGGAGCAAGTTCAACGACTGCACAACGCAATGGGGGAAACAGCGCTCGCCGCATTGAACTTGGTATAGGTGGCACCAGATTGGGTGGTTACGTAAAGCGCAACAAACTCGCGCTTCCGAGCATGAAGAATTTAATGTTGGTAGCAGATTATCGGATAAAATCCATGAGGTTACAGGTTTCACCTGTGTAGTGATTCTGCTCCAATTGTTCACATCGTAGTTGGAGCCTCCAACTACGATGTGAACAATATTTTCTCCTTGTTTTTTAGTAGTACAGGGGCCCTCGTCTAGTCGTAGTAGTACTGCGGTAGTACGTCACGGTGGTGTACAAGTTAAGCCAAGTCACTAGTGTATACCACTCCGGACTTGGCAGTGAATCATTCACAAAACACCAAATATACGACTAGTCGAGAACGTCAGGGAGGCTCCCTGAGGGAGCTGTTTCACAGCAACAGGCTGTTGCCAACAGCTAACCCTGACAAACACCCCAACCACTGTACTACTTATTGACGTTGGAGAAGGAGTTGAATAGAACTTACTTCAGACGTGCCGTCGAAATTGATTGTACTAATGACACGTGTCGTCGAAATTGATTTTTCTATCGAGCGCGCTGGCGAATTTGATCTTACTTAGGCATATCTTGGCTCGAATCATCGTTCGCCCTGCGGTCAGCTTACAAAGGCGAAGGGTCGCTCGAAGGAGTGTCGACATCCGATATGGTTAGAGCAGTTGAGAGAGGCCCGTTCTAAACCATCATGGTGACCGTCTAGGACTGCCCTCCATCTAGCACCGTGCTAGTAGCACGAAGTACGGCCTGGATACACATGCTAGGCACAGGAGATGCTGGGGGGGACTCACGGACGCATCGACTTCGCCAAGGCTACAGTCCGAGTCCATCACCAATAACCTCCACCAAGTTAGCCATCGGGGGAGGCGTCGAAGGCGTCGGCTGGGGCTGAGGCTCATCTACGAGTGGCTCAGCCGCTGAGACACTCGTAGAGGTAGTGCCGAGAGCGGTGAGAGGAAGGTGATGGCTGTTGATCCCTATATTGTCTTCATCTGAGACGCTAGTAGACTGGACATTATGGGACTATTGGGATTCCCAACTTGGGAACTGTAAGAAGGGGACAGTGACGGAAGGCTGAAAGCATAAGTGGTACAGATGCTTGGTGTATTCGAGGGCCAATGAAAGGCATCCTATGGTCAGGGATGAGCATGGGTGGAGGGATTGTTGCAGTGATGTCAGTAGTTCCGAGACTATCGTGACTGCACGACGCCTTTGATTGGGAGGTGGCGACAACGCGTTTGATCCAGATATATAGTATGTCCATTGAATTGGCATGAATTGGCATGAATTGGTACTGTATCTATTGTATCAGACTTTGCCCGATTCTGATACAATAAATACAGTACAATTTATCGTGTTCTCGAATCGGATAACAGAGGCGTTTCCCCATCTTATCCTAGGGTAGGAGTGCCTGACGCCATCAGTAGTGTTGTGGGATGCCCCACAAGCAACGAACAAGGATCATAGTTGAGAAGGAGTCGGTGTCACTCAGCGATAAAGCGTTTGCTTTGCTCCTGCACGGGTTGTAGCCGTGATTGGCAGACTACACATCAGTGGTGATATTATCATCATCGTGGATCAACAATTCATTGTAGAGACCCTCTGTTCACGACCCCAAAGGACTACTTGAGCGCACTCAACTAATGCTGACGACATCTCACATAATCTCGAAATAATCAGCATCACGGATTAACTCAAAAATTCTCCCCGAGGAAGATACAAGTTAGTCTCGCAAATGTCAAGGGTCGATTGAAGCTATCCTTTATAACGAGTAATACATGGTACATAACCACACTTATCTACTCAAAGACGCCAGAGGCTTCACGCCATCTGCTGATGGGGAGGTCTTGGACAGAGTACTTGGTCGCAAAGGCTAGGGTCAACTCCAGCTTGGTGATTTGAGTCGGCAAACGAGCTTGGCCATCCGCGAGTGCTTCAATAGTCCAAAGCTTCTGAGAGAAAGTTCTTGGCAACTGACACGTTATTCTTTGTAGTGGACTGCGTGACGGGACAGACCTGTGTGAGGTCACCTCACTGAGGTGTGAGCCGCTTGTATGACACCAGTTAATCGCGCACTCATCTCGTGACCGAGATTACAAGGGGGAGCCCTGCAAGTCTTCCATCCTCTCCACACTACAAGGTGAGGCCACGTCGAATATAAACAAGAAGATTGCTGCTACTATCACGGCTACGATATCGGAGTAGGAGGGACTCCCTCCGAGGGAGACAGTGATGCTGTCAGCGAGCATATGAGTGATGTCTCTGATGATGGTGGATCCTGAGGGGTGGTTTCTAGCATCCTCCGTGTCGCTTTGTGCCAAGGAGGCTACTGATCAGTTGCTCTGCTACAGACTCTATAGTACAGAGTGTTCGAAAAAAAAGACCCAGGCCTCGTACTACGAGGCCCGTAGCTTCTCGGCGCATGTGTGTGAGTTTCAAATGCAACGTCAACAACACGGCTTGGACTCGCATCGATGCACACTAGCTTATGTCGGATCAGCTTTAGTCTATTGAATTGGCCCACACAGTTCATTTCATTATTCAGTTGTAGCATAGGCTCCGCAAAAATTGTGTAAGTTCTTCATCATGCATGGAATGTTGTCAACAGGCCGACTCGCTCTGAGCGAGATGATAACCTCTGGTAAGATACTCCTTCTCCTCTCGGCAGGATCCGCTTCCACAACTGCGGGGTCTGTGCATGACACAAATCATGAGCACTCACCATAGTGTATCGACTACAAGCATCATCACGAGGACTCAAAGTCCCTACTCTAGCATAAGTCATCCCTCGCTGGAGACTATTATTCTCGATGGCACAAGGATATACATGTAGCTGCGTTCCCTCGTATCATTCGTCTATCGAATTTTCGAAGGTCAATTTGTCACTAAAGTTCGCCATAGGTATGCATCGTCTCACACTAATTGTTGCTTGCCCAGGAGTTCCGCTTCCGCCCGCATAACTCGGACGCAAACGTGATCGATCTGGTCACTGAGAGCAGTTCTCGTCATGCGAAACCAGGGCGGCAGCTGGGTCCATTTCTTTATCCTCTTCATCAGGTTGAGTGACCGAAGAGTAACGGGAGGCACGCTCCATTATTTCTGCACGATTCTACCATTCGGACGCGTTCTCTCTGT